AATGTATGCCTAATTAGATAGATAAGATCCGACGGGCTGATTGATGAGAATCAGTGAAACTAAAGAGGCCTAATAGGGTTAGATGGTTAGAAAATACGGTATTAAAAGAACTATAACCTTAATTTGAACTCAAGGTAAATCAGTAGAGATTAGAGACTAGCCTAAAAAATCTTATGACTTCGATACATGCTATTTAGGTATGAAATAAGATTTAAGAACGATAGAAGATACATGATTGACATAAGGCATAAGAAAGATTTAAAAGTCGTTAAGTAGGCTACTTTCTGAATATGTTTAAGTCTGAGTCAATCATTTTGTCTCCTCATATTTTGATATATACTTGTATTGATAGTATGTTTTCAAGCCTTAGCCTCGATAGGTTGCAGACTCAACCCATAGGTTCTTACTCGAGCCTAGTTATCCTTGGAAGACTAACCCAAAAATTTTGCTCAAGCCCACCTCAAAACCTCGACCTAGTCCACATTGCCTAACCAACTCAAACACAATGGCAACAAAATCAACCCCGTACCGCTCCCGGCGCAGCTCTACGATGGCTTCTCGAGTGACTCTTCAGTAACTTCCCGATGGCTTTCCAGCGACTCTCAATTTTTATTCCTTTTTTTTTTTTATATGTTGGACCTCTTTCCTATCATCTTTTACCCTTTTGTAGTCGATTTTGGTATTTGCAAAGGCATTTGAAATGAGTACGGTAACTTTTTAACAAAATTAAAATGTTATAAGCAGAAAGTTAGAGGTATAATTATGAATGTTAGGTAAACTAGGTCAATCAATGAGTTCTAATCTAATGTAATGAACGCATAAGGGTTGACTTGCATTTCAAGAGACAAGTTTGAACTAGCTTCAAGGATAAATTAGCAATTCTGACTTAAACTATTCAGCTCAGTGGCTCTAATATTGACATGGTTGGATGAATTGAATGATGCATGAATGACACGTGTCTGTGGCCCCCTATTGTTATGTGAACTATGTTACGACTCGTGTATGTAACGTTATGTCATTCATTACGTGATGATGTACTATGATTTATGTTATGCTATGATATGCATGCACATAGTGTTAGCATGATTGTTTTCAAGAATGTGAAATATTGATATGCTAAGAATGTATTCATGAAAATGTTTATGAAAGAAAGGTGGTATGATTTGCATATTATATGATTTGTAGCTATGTAAAACTCATGTACTTTTATGTTATTTGCGTAAGGATACTTTCCATTATGATTCGTACGGATGCGTACCTTACAACATTATATACGTCATGATGTTATGATACGATATAATACACAACACAATCCTATTTAGGCTATGTTTCCTCTGTGATTCCAGCAGCGTGTAAATGTATGCTAGCTAAAAGGTAGGCTCAGGGGTATGTATCCGCTTGCCTAATGGGTCCACATGCGCGTACGTCTGCCATGTGTAGAGAAGTGCTACACATCCAATTTTAACCCGAATTGAAAGCACAATTCAAACTAATAAAGGAAAGGATCTTTATGAAAGGATAGGTCCCTCCATGATTGATTGTGTATGCATTTCCTTACCCTTGAGTACTCCTTAAAATACTTAAGTCATGTATTGCTCTTACTTTTCATGTAAAGGCAAGACACTTATGCACCAATGACGACATCGCGGTGACGCCCATGAGAATGAAGTTAGGATAGATGCATTTCAAGTTGTTTGTAGCCTTTATGTTAGAGCAGGCTATTGCTTTATTCTCTTCTTTGTTTTATTAAAATTTCACCTTATTTGTTTCCCATTGTAATTGTATTAACAATAAGCCTATGATACCGTATTGAAATATTTTTAAAGATTTTTCAGCCTTTCATAATTAAGTCATTTATATAATAGCTACTTTATTTGAGTAGGAAATTGTATTTTTTATATAAATTTGTTTAATTAATAGAAAAATATGGTCGGAAATCCATGTTGTCAAAGGATCCATATTATTGAATCATTTTAAATTTGATAGTAATTCATGACTCGAGATCCTCGAATAGCATGTCGTTACAACTAACGTGTACACCACATGCAGCACTCCAAACTTAGATTAAACTCTTTTGTTCATCAAATCTCATACTACCCATTCTACTTGACAAAAGACTAATTGATATGGAATCCACCACAGGCAGAGGGAAAGTATGGAACGGATTATCTTGATGATCAACATCAAGAGTAAATAAAACTTGTGGTTCGAATTACTCTACAAGAGGTTTGATCAATACCACTTGAATGACTCTAGCATGTAAGTTCTAAACACGAAAATTTGCAAAGAAAAAACTTAACTCTCTAACAAATCTAAAATAGAACTTCTATTTTTGTTTAATTCCAAAATGCGATGTCTCTCGTCAAAGAAAAGAGGCTTTATATACCCTTTACAACCTTAACCCATGTGACACATCACTCTCAAATTAAATTGGCTAGTTAATGAGAAATACCAATAGCCTCCATATTAAAATAGCTAGTCAAGGGTGGAACATGGTAACTTAGGTAGGTTACAATATAACTTAACTTCTATATTAAAAACTGCTTAAATTTGACAAACAAATAGCGCAATGATGAGATATGCTTATTAATCATCTTTGGACTAGTTCCATAAATTCAACTTAGTTCAATAAATGCAAATTAAAGTGCTTTTAATGCATGTGAAGCTCAACTTTACACAACATATAAGAGAGGTCTCCAACGTCTTCTAAAATTTCTTTTGATGAACTCACCATATTTTGAATATAAGTGTACAAGGTTTGTTGTTGTTTATTGGCTCTAGTTCTTGTAATTAAACCTCGAGGTATGGAAATTCGGTCACCGTTCATATCACTCACCATTTTTCAAAAGTTATTCAAGTCAATAACTACTGAACAATTATCCTAAAATTGGGGTAAGTTAGTAAAAATGGAAATCAAGCTTATTAACTCATATTCTTCCCCTATTTCCTTTATTTGTTTAGGAAGAATTATCTTACCCTTCATCTCGTTAGTGGGATTTTATTAACATAATGAGTTGATTTAATGGAATCAACTAAAAATAGTTACTAATCACTACCAAACTCTCTAAATGATTCACCAACCAAAGTTTAAACTTGTCGTCCATTCAATAAATATGAATGAAGATTTGGGTGTAAAAATCTTTACACCTACTAGAAATTTATATTTAACGAAGAGCAGTACAATATTACAAGCTTAATTACTCCTAATTTCAACTTAATCAAGCTTTCCAAACTGTACAATCTCTTCTAGTGACTGTCTCAATGATAGCATTAATCATTAACCAGACAAGACAACAAACCCAAACCCATATTTCTAACTATAAACTGTCACCATACGTCATGAATACTTAATCTTCTACTCTAATCAAATAACAATCAAATCTTAAACCATTTAAGACTTAATATTTGCTTTATCATGGCGAGACGATCTAAATTCCTTTGCTATAAACTGCTTCGAGGCATCAATTTTGAATTAGCGGATCCACGAACGTTCTTGCATGACGACATGGCTGCTTTGTTCTTATAAAGAAGCTTTATGTTTTGTATCTTTATTCTTTGCATGGATTGGTAACGCTGCATTTGAAATTCAAAGCTTTTTGCATTGTTGATGTTCCTCGAATATTTCTATATGTAACTTTGCTGATTTGTATGCCCGAATTCTTTCTAGGACAACCTTTGTTGTCTAATCGATCGGATTTTTGACATTGTTCATGATAATGTTGTCGAAGAGGATGTTTCGGACAAAGCCTTTGCTTGGTCTAGCCCATGTTTTTATCCTTATGCCATTGTCGGACCGTGTGAATATTGAGTTCTTTAAGGTTATGTTTTGAACTCCATCTTCGTTGAAGTCCTCGCCCAAGCTTCCAATGCTGCTCCAAAGAAATGTTTGGTTCTTTTTACGGTTAGAATTCAAAATATAAGCCTCCAAAAGAAGGAACTTCAAATCAAAATTGAGCAAAGTTTATTTACCTTATGCCATGGTCTTATAAGTTCCTGGGCCAATTGATGCACAATCGTCTCCTGTTTGTAGTGTACTATCCGTGATGGTAACATCACTAGAAATTTGAACGTGAATTCCATCTGTTTGGGGGCTTTGATCGGGCGCTATTGCCTTCACGTTTTGAATAAGCACCTTCTTGCAGCCATTGATTACGAGATGAGTTTGTTGTCTATTGATCGACGTTAATCTACTGATCACGATGTTGTTGGCCCAATTGAATGTCATTGACTGCATTACGTACCATATTTTAGTAACCCACTTACTTATGGCTAAATTACTAAAAATACTTTTGATTTTCGTATGGTTTACTTTCAAAATTAAAAGTAAGGCTATTTAAAATTTTTCCAAGACAAACTACATGCATGGATTACAATGACTTAAACACATCGTAATCGATGTTAGTATAACGACTCTCAACAATGGTAGGATATTGTCCACTTTGAGCATGAGGTCTCACGACTTTGCTTTTGGCTTCCCCAAAAGGCTCATACCAATCAAGATGTATTCCTTAAATTCATGATCATTCACTTAATTAGCTAATGTGGGACTCTCTCCAAACAATCCTCAACAATCACCCCTCAAACAAAGTATACTATAGAGCCTTCGTTGAAGCCTATGGAGCCCTCAAATAACCTCCCCTTAATCGAGGCTCGACTCCTCCTCATACCAATCAAGATGTATTCCTTAAATTCATGATCATTCACTTAATTAGCTAATGTGGGACTCTCTCCAAACAATCCTCAACAATCACCCCTCAAACAAAGTATACTATAGAGCCTTCGTTGAAGCCTATGGAGCCCTCAAATAACCTCCCCTTAATCGAGGCTCGACTCCTTATCTAGAGTCCTTGAATAAAGTACATTCTTTGTTCGACACTTGAACCACTTTTGACTACACCTTCGAGGCTCACAACTTCTTTATTTGACAGTTGAGAATTCTATTGACATTACTAAGTTAAGAGCATGACTCTAATACCATGTTAAGAATAACGACTCTCCACAATGTTATAATATTGTCCACTTTGAGCATAAACCCTTATGACTTTGCTTTTGCTTCCCCAAAATACCTTGTATCAATCAAGATATATTCCTTACCTATAAACTCACTGTCATTACCTAAATTAGCATACCCTAAATTAGCATACGTAGAACTCCCTCTCAACAATTCTCAACAACCCATAAGAAAAAAAAAACATCAAAAGCTTAAGTAATTTGAAAATTCTTGTTTTCAAATTGAATCGTGTAACATATTGGAGCTCCAACGGGGCAACTCTTCCCAGATCTCTTGCACGCCCAATAACTCGCACCCTACTCATCAAGAGTATCGCCGACGACAGAGACTCATCAAGAGTATCGCCGACGACAGAGACTTTGTTAACTTTAGAGAACAAAATCCAAGAATCCGAATTTCCAAGGCCACGATAATCCGAGGGAGCCACAAGCGTGCCATCTATTCGGAATGTGATTTGGTTCTTACAAGGACCTCTGAACACAATGCCTTTAAGTAAGAACCTTCCCTTAGGAACATATATGGAAGAAGGTGCAGCCGAGTTACAAGCAGACGCCCAAGCCTTGAGAAAAGGGGCAGTGGACACCGTTCGGCCATCAGGCTTAGCTCCAAAACTGACAACATTATAGCTAAGAGCACTCAATGGTGGTGGGAAGAAGATGATAATTATAAAGAGAAGGGAAAAGGGAAAGTTGGTCATTTTGTTTATGATATGTTTGTGTAAGGAAATGGGGTTTATATAATGTATGAGATTTGATGAACAAAAGAAGCAAAATTGAAAAGTCAAAAGAGATGCATGTGGCGTACATGTTAGAAGCACCAGGGTTTAGGGTCAAAGTGGATGCATGAACGTAACATGGCGTACAATATGAACATGTCTTTATTTTATGGTGTGTACGTTTTGTTTCAAATCATTACTCTAAGCTTTCATGGGATTCCTTGGAAAACACTTCAATAACCGAAATCTTGATGGGTTTTCAAGAAACATTTTCTTAATATTCTTAATTCTCCTCATTGAAAGTTAACTCATTTGAAGATCTTGAGTCATAAATTAATTATAACTCAAGCCAAAAGTTAAAACGATTTAATAATATAGATCCTTATGTGCATTGTCGTACAATCCATTAGCTGCATGAGAACTGGTTGGGTCGCGCCCTTAAGGGACTATATGGGCTTAGGAGGTACTCAGTACACCCCTAAGCTAGATACCATGTAGTCTCAAATAGACATGTAAAGGTAGCGCCTCATAGAGAGATATCGGTCGTTACAACCTGCCATAAGAAACCCTTAAGTATCAAATGAAAGGACGGAGAATCAGTGAAGCGTCAAGGAGCAATCTCCAAAGAGCACGTCCCAAGGGGCAAGCCCCAAGGGACTAAGACCAGAACCAGACGTTCTAGAGCCAATTAAAAGACCGGGAGAATTCTGTTAAGTTTGATGCAATGAGAGCCTATAAGTAGGTGGCTTATTGAGTATAATTTTTATACTCATCCTAGTTTTCCTATTTTATTCAGGTGTTCGCAGGCTGCCGGTCGAGGTAGAGGAGCGTTCGAGAGCTGTGCGGTCACAAAGGGGGTCGTTACGAAGCGTCAGTACCTTTTCCATCTTTGGAGTCTTTGGTAAATTCTCTTTATATTTCTATTATTATTATTATTATTATTATTATTATTATTATTATTATTTGTCAATTTGAATCCTAGTTTAAAATATTTGGCATTTGTTGGAGTCTTTGGCTCTGGATAGCATCTTTGTAAATTCTCTTTTTATACCAATGTTTTAGAAAGCTCATCTTTGAGATTATCAATCTCCACCTGTCTCTTTGTTGGCATTTGTTGCTCAATTTAATCTTGAGCTTGCACAAGTCGATAATAAAACTGCTTTTTGCATGGAGATTTGGAATAAGAAATATATATGGCAGAACCAGTTGGTTTTCTAGTAGTTGGACAACAACATTAAGTATGTCAGATAGAAAAAATCTTTGTATGGGTTGTTGGTGATATTTTCAAGATTTGTGATTATCTCCCTCCATTTGTCTTTGTTGACTTTAGTTGCTCAATTTAATTTTATAATACACAACTTATATGAAAAACTGTTTTCTTGTTTGGAAGAAAAAAATATATATGACAGTTAGTTGATTTTCAAGCCGTTGGAAAACAACCTTTGATATGTGGATTGAAGAAATCTTTGTATGGGTCGTTGGTGATATTTGCTCTTGGAAATCATATTTTCAAGAATTTTGATTGTCTCCATCTATTCGATTTTTTTTTTTTTATTTTTTTTTATTTTTTTTTTTTTGCTGTTGTTGCTCAATTTAATTTTGAGCTTGCACAACTTGGTATGAAAAGCTGTTTTCTTGTATGGAGATTTGGAAGAAAAAATATATATGTCCACGCCATTTTGTTTTTGAGTTGTTGGCAACAACATTTGATACGTAGATTGAAGAAATCTTTGATAATGTGAGGTATGTCCCTAACAAAGACTTCTTAATTTGATGTAGGGAATTTGAAAATAGCTCATGGAGCTTTGGTGGTAATTAGAGGGACTAAAAGAGGTAGCATACACTACATCAATGGAACCACGCTAATGGGGCATATTGCTGTGGCAAGTTCAAAAGAACAAGATATATCCCAACTATGGCACATGCGACTCGGGTATGCTGGTGATTTGGATAAGCGACCACCACTGCGGGTATGGTGGTGCCATAACTCTCCCCATAGCCACTTTTATTACTGCTCAAAATCAATCTACACTCGTGGCTCTCTAGTAATCATGATCGACGAGTGGGCCACCTTCCTACTTAAGGTATCGACGACTATGTTCACTTTACATAGTGGTATAAAATGTCTATATCAGAGTCATTTTGGGGGAAGAAATAATTCAAACTCTTGTAGTCATTATAGATTTGAGTCTTCTCCCTATACAAGTAGTGTTACCAAATCTTTAGTGCAAAAATCCCTGTAGCTAACTCCAAGTCACGAGTTGGGTAATTCTGTTAATAATTCTTCAACTTTCAAGATGCATAGGCAATGACCTTTTCATGCCATATCAACACACATATTATTCTCCTAGAGACATAGTATCGGTTCATTAACGTATCTCTCCTTTACTCAGTTGTCACGATTATTAAACCATTTTAAATTTCATACTAGTGAGTCGCAATCCATAACTCAAGATCCTCAAAAAGCAAGTCGTTACCACCAACATGTGGAGTTAATATACGGATTCAATCCAAAGATTAAAAAACAAATGTTAAAAGAGTTTACTTTCGAAAGAAGAAAATTAAGAAAATGTTTCTTGAAAACCAATCAAGCTTGCGGTTATTGAACTTTCCAAGGAATCCCACGAGAGTATTTCTTTCCATAGCTTAGAGTAATGATTTGAAACAAAACGTACGCACTTTTTTTTAAAAAAAAAAAAAAAAAATTATAATATTAAAAGAGTTGTACATACTTGTGATATCCTACATTGGTTGGAGAGAAAAACGAAACACGAGTGAGGAAACCTTTTCCAGGAAGACGCGTAACGGGAAAACCCACAAGAGAAAACCCAAAAACTTTGACGGAAAGTTCGGAAGGGAAAACCCGAAAAGGACAGTATCTAGATGAGCACTAGTTCCGCTGTGTAACTTTGAAAGACGGAAGAAGACAGTATCTAGATGAGCACTAGTTCCACTGTGTAACTTTGAAAAACGTAAGAGAACAGTATCTGGATGAGCACCGGTTCGAGAGGAAGCCCGAAAGGGAAGAACAATATCTGCAGTGGATCTATGGATCTCGGCCGTTACAACACCATTACACAAAAACAAAAAAAAAAAAAACAAGTTCACAGGGTAGTAGCATGTTGTTACAACTACCCTATAGAGTTCACATGGGGATTCAATCCAAACGTTAAAAACAAATGTTAAAAGAGTTTACTTTGGAAATAAGAAATTTAAGAAAATGTTTCTTCAAAACCCATCAAGCTTTCGGTTAGAGTAATGATTTGAAATAAAACGTACACACCATAAAATAAAAACGTGTTCATATTGTACGCCATGTTACGTTCATGCATCCACTTTGACCCTAAACCCTGGTGCTTCTAACATGTACGCCACATGCATCTCTTTTGACTTTTCAATTTTGCTTCTTTTGTTCATCAAATCTCATACATTATATAAACCCCATTTCCTTACACAAACATATCATAAACAAAATGACCAACTTTCCCTTTTCCCTTCTCTTTATAATTATCATCTTCTTCCCACCACCATTGAGTGCTCTTAGCTATAATGTTGTCAGTTTTGGAGCTAAGCCTGATGGCCGAACGGTGTCCACTGCCCCTTTTCTCAAGGCTTGGGCGTCTGCTTGTAACTCGGCTGCACCTTCTTCCATATATGTTCCTAAGGGAAGGTTCTTACTTAAAGGCATTGTGTTCAGAGGTCCTTGTAAGAACCAAATCACATTCCGAATAGATGGCACGCTTGTGGCTCCCTCGGATTATCGTGGCCTTGGAAATTCGGATTCTTGGATTTTGTTCTCTAAAGTTAACAAAGTCTTTGTCGTCGGCGGTACTCTTGATGCGCGGGGTGCGAGTTATTGGGCGTGCAAGAGATCTGGGAAGAGTTGCCCCGTTGGAGCTCCGGTATGTTATAACTCTTATACCATGTTGGTTTTTGTTTTTTTTCTTTTTCATCTAGTGATGTTAGAAATCACGGCTCTCTACAATGATAGCATAAACTCTTATGGCTTTGTTTTGGGCTTCCCAAAATGTCTCATACCAACGGAGATGTATTCCTTATTTATAAACCCATGATCATTCTCTAAATTAGCCAAGGGGGACTTCTCCCAACAATTCTCAACAATCTTCCCTTTGAACAAAGTACACTGTAGAGCCTCCCTTGAGGCCTATGGAACTCTCGAGCAGTCTTCTCTTAATCGAGACTCGACTCTTTCTCTAGAGTTCTCGCACAAAGTACACATTTTGTTCGACACTTGAGTCACTTTTGACTACATCTTCAAGGCTCACAACTTCTTTCTTTGAGAGGATTCTATTGACATGGCTAAGTTAAGAGCATGACTCTGATACCATGTTAGGAATCATGACTCTCCACAATGGCATGGTGCCTTTTGGGAAAGCCTAAAGTAAAGCGTTTTTTTTATTAATTTAGCTAAAAATAAGCGTGTTACTAAAATGTTGTACGTAATACAGTCGATGACATTCAATTGGGCAAACAACATCGTGATCAATGGATTAACGTCGATCAATAGCCGACAAACTCATCTTGTAATCAATGCCTGCAAGAAGGTGCTTGTTCAAAATGTGAAGGCAATAGCGCCAGACCAAAGCCCCAACACAGATGGAATTCACGTTCAAACTTCTATGGATGTTACAATCACTAGCAGTACGCTACAAACAGGAGACGATTGTGTATCAATCGGTGCAGGAACTTATAATTTGTTCATGACTAATCTCAAATGTGGACCAGGCCATGGCGTAAGGTAAATAAACTTTGCTTAATTTTGACTTGAGGCTCTTTCTCTTGGAGGCTTCTATTCTGAATTCTAAGCGTAAAAAAAAACCAAACATTTCTTTGGAACAGCATTGGAAGCTTGGGCAAGGAGCTCAACGAAGATGGAGTTCAAAACATAACCTTAAAGGACTCAATATTCACAGGGTCCGACAATGGCATAAGGATAAAAACATGGGCTAGACCAAGCAAAGGCTTTGTCAGGAACATCCTCTTCGATAACATTATCATGAACAATGCCAAAAATCCAATCGTAATCGATCAAAATTACTGTCCTGATAACAAAGGTTGTCCTAGACAGAGTTCGGGCATACAAATCAGCAAAGTTATGTACCGAAATATTCGAGGAACATCAGCAACCCCAGAAGGTGTGAATTTCGATTGCAGTGTTACAAATCCATGCAGAGAAATAAAGCTACAAAACATAAAGCTTCTTTATAAGAACAAAGCAGCCATGTCGTCATGCAAGAACGTTCGTCGATCCGCTAATGCCATGTTGATGCCTCGGAGCTGCTTGTAGCAAAGAAATTTGGATCGTCTCGCCATGAATAAGTAAATATTAAGTATTAAATGGTTTAAGATTCGATTTTTATTTGATTAGAGTAGAAGATTAAGTATTCATGACGTTGCTTGTTTATAGGGTGTGAATGATGTACGGTGACAGTTTATTGTTAGAGATTGGGGCTTGTGATGTTGTATTGTCTATTAACTAATGATTGATAATCATCAATGCAATCATTGAGACAATCACCACAAGAGATTATACAGTTTGGAAAGCTTGATTAAGTGGAAATTAGGAGTAATTATGCTTGTAATATTATATCGATCTTTATTAAATATAAATCTCTAGCGGGCGTAAATTGTCATGAAGATGTATTGTCTTTTAACTTTCATTTAGTTTATAACCATTTTGATTAATAATCTTATTTATTTTGGTTATTACTCTCGTTTAAGTTCAAAATCCTTGATGGTTCATATTATATTTTTGATACATGAATCATCCCTATATAAAAGGTTGTCTAGGATGGTTGAGAGTATTGAGTTTGAGTGTCATTTAGTATCTCTTGAGTGACATATGAGAGAAACTCTCTTTGAGAGACTTTGTAGTGTGAGAGTGTGAGATATACACTTTATAAACAATTTGATTATTTGAGTTGTCACCCATGGATGTAGGAGAATTTCTTGTCTCTGAACCATGTAAATCTTTATGTCTCTTTGTTTAATTTTTGTTTGTGGGGGTGTGATTGTGATTGATATTGCTTCCATTTTTGCACAACAATTGATATTAGAGCATTTTGATTGTGGTATTTGGAGTATTATGAAAGATTTAACTTCATCGACCACGAGACCAGCTCACACTCACCATCACTTATTAAAGACAAGTTTCTCATTGCAAGCGTGCTTAATTTCTTGGAAATCTATTTTTTCAAGAATTGTGTTTTCTACTTTCATTCGGATTATTCATTTGGAGGAGAAACTTGTTACAAATGGTAGACTCATCTAGTACTAAATCATGGCGTGGATCAAGAATTTTGAGCTCTAATCTCAAAGTAGAAAATTTTGATGGATCAATAATTTTGATGTTTGGTAAGACAAAGTTAGTGATTTGTTGGCCATGCAAGATCTTGATGTTTCTCTCGAAGGTGCGATGCCTGAATACATGACAGATGCAAAAGGTAGGAAATTTAATCGACAAACTTGTGGAATTATTTGATCTTGTCTTGGCAAGGATAGAAGTATCCATTTATGAAGGTGACCACGGCAAAAGAACTATGGAATAAGCTCGAGGCCAAATATATGCATAAGAATATGGAGAATAAAACTCCATTTGGAGAGGGAACAAAACATTCTTTATAACGGTGAGAAAATCTCTCATAATAAATGAGTTTTAAAAACCTTGAGAGGAAGTTTAAAGGAGAAAAAAAAAGACAATATCTGCTAGCGGTGGACTTGAACTCTTTACTTTCTTCTAACATATTTATGATATAAGTCAGCTCGTTGACATGGGAGGACTTGGGTTTATGCTTGATTTGGGATTGTTGTTTTTCAAATAATTGTTGCTAGTTTTGTTTTTAAGAAAATTTTAGTAGAAGTAAATTTGTGTTGGGTAAATTTCAAATTTAAATCTGAAAACCCAATCTGCCAATCCGACCTAAACCGAATTATAAAGGTTTGGTTGGGTTTAAAAGGACTTCAAATACAAGTTGGGTTCATTTTTTGGAATTCGATCCGATTTGAGATGGGTTCGAGTTCAAATTTTAAATTATTAAGACAACTCGACCCAACCCGAAAACCATACAAAAGGCCGAAGCCCACGCAGCCCGCCAATCTTGTCTGACTCTACCACTGTTAATTATTTGTAATCGTCTCTCTTCTTAGAGGTACAGATTTTCTCTCTCTTGTCAAAGGTGCAGACTTTCTCTCTCTCCATTTATCTCAGTGTGTTAATCTTCATCGTTCTCATCTCACGACGTTCATTTTCTCCGTTGATGTCTTCATATCGGATGTCGATCTAGCTTGCTGGTCACCTCTTTATTTCTCCGTCCGATTCTCTTCTTTGCTCCCATTTCTCCACTCGACTTTGTTGAAGTCGTGCCGACTGTCTCTCCGCTCGGCTTTTCGTTCTATATCCGTCGGACTTCTACACTCTGTGTTTCTTGTTGGACTTCTTCGGTCGGCCCTAGTTTTTTTCTCCACTTCTTATCTCTTCTTAGTTTGGAACAACCTGAATCCAACCTGAAAATAAGGGGTTGGGTTGTGAAAATTTTCGAGTTGAGTTGGGTTATCAATCCAACCAACTCGAACTTTTGGGTTGGTTCAAAAAAGTCCCTCAACCCAACCCGACCCTGACCATGTACACCCCTACGTTTGAATTAAGCATGAACTTTAATTTTATATAATTCAACTTATAAACTATATGTTATTTACTTTAAATACTTGGCTCCACTAATTTTGATTTAAGTACTTGAAGGAAAGTAAGAAAAATATATGAGAAGAAACCAATTAAATTTTAAAAAGAAAATAATAAAAATGAGATGAGATAAATGGTAAAGAATAATAGAGTCTATGGGTCCTTGAGCTTCCATTGCATTTTTTTGACGGGTAAACTAGATCAACTTTAGACATTATCGATTTTTGAGCTTCCATTTCGTTTTTGGACAATGTCAACTGGATTAAACCTAGAGTCTACGGATCCTTGAGCTTCCACTGCATTTTTTGGACGTGTAAACTAGATCAACCTTAGACGTTATCGATCTTTGAGCTTCCATTGCGTTTCTGGACAATGTCAACTGGATCAACCCTAAAACCTACTGATCGTTGAGCTTTACAAAATTACATGAGAGTAAAAGAGAATTAACTTGTTTTAGTGAGTCGTCGAAACACTTGGTGTTTCGATGATCAAATATGACCGATTCTTCCATTCAAGAAAATTCATAAAATGGATGCTTCACAACCCAAGCAGCCTTGCTCATAAAATGGATGCTTTTTTAGTTGTACATTCCGCTACAATAATTTGGTTGTGGTATTTGAGCACAACGAATAATATCATAGCTTTGAAGGTTGTAGCTTTACGATATAACAGTTGTTACCTTATGTTTACTTGAGAAATACTTCTCACCTTAATCATACACAATATGATGCATCTTATCAACCTAGTTTGTAGGCTCATCTATCTACATAATAACACAATATTATTAAGATTTAATGGTATTTCTTACCGAATTAGTAAACTAAGTAGGAACTCAAACGGTTATTGATTACAAAACCTAAATCATTAAATACTAAAAAAAACAACATTCAAGGGAAGACTACGACTACTTCACTTCACGATAACATTTCGATAATAAAACGTCAGTTATTAGCGTGTCCAAGTTAAGGTAAGAAGAGCCTCCATGTCTGCATGATTCCTCAGCTTTGCTTTTCAACTCCATGACTTCGGCTTTCATGTCTTCGCCTTTCTTTCCTTCCATTAGCTCTTTGATACAACTCTCAACTCCATCTCTCTTCACATCATTATCTATTTCCAATGCAATGCCCCATTTTTCACAACAATATAGACAAGTTGTTGGTTGATCGCCAAAGTATGGCCATGAGATCATTGGCACTCCAACACATATGCTTTCAAGGGTTGAATTCCATCCATTATGAGTTAAAAACCCTTTTATTGATGGGTGCTTTAGAACCTCCTCTTGAGCACACCAGCTAGCTACCATCCCAATTCCCTTTGTTTCTTCAACAAAATCATGGGATAAAATGGGTGAATCGCTCTTGACAAGATCAGGCCTTATGATCCATAAAAAAGGTTTTTTGCTGTTTGCAAGTCCCCATGCAAACTCAGTGATTTGGTTAAGTGTCATTATAGTCATGCTTCCAAAATTTACGTAAATCACTGAGTTGGGCTCCTTGGAATCAAGCCATGTGACGCACTCATGATTCTCTTCCCAAAAATTTGTAGCTATTGCTTCTAAACTTTGGTCCTTGATTTGCCTTGAAAGTAAGTGAAGTGGACCAATAGTATAAATTGGAGGAAGCATTGAAGAAAGGGCATCCAAAACTTCATGATCTAGTGCATCAAAAGTGTTCAATATAATAGCAGAAGCTTTTCGAGTCCACTTTGTTTGCTCGACCAAAAAATTCAAAATGATATTATTTGGATCCGTTGTTCTTATCAAACTTGGTAGATACTTAAGTTTTATATTTTTCATTCCGGAAATCCAATCAATAGTAGTATTGAGATAGCCATTGCTTAAATAGCTCTCATCTGCATATATCAATCCAAAAACGATAAGGAATCAACTCAATAGAAAGTTTTGAAATAAATTACCCTAATGATCAAGATCATAAATAAAAAAAAAATCATTTCTAAACTCCTAATTGAATCGTTCCAAAACGACTTGAGTAAAAGAGTGGTACATGCACGAACTAACACCACATCCTAATGTAGCCAAGAAAAGCGTAAAAGACTTAAGGTCACTACGTATACCAACAAGACCTTCCTTTATTATGACTGAATCATAAGAAATCCATTATTAAGTGTGTTAATCCTACGTCTTCCTTTTTTATGACTGAATCATAAGAAATCCATTATTAAATGTGTTAATTCTACATTTGGTGACCACTTAAAAATTTTCTTAAAAAACATATAAGTAAGGACAAAACATGTTGAAATGATTTGTATTTGTCTATGGAGATAATATTCACTCTTAGGAGTAATAAATAAGTAACATGATCATGTCACAGGAGATGTAGAGATGATAAGGTATTAAATCGATTCCAAATCCGAGAAGTATTACACCATAAATTAATACTAAAAAGTTTAAAAATATAATTAAACGTTCTATAAATCCTAACAACATGTATAGTATATTCTTGTCATTCTTGCCATTAAGGAACTTTATTAAAAAAAATTGTTTGATACCTTGAAATGGAGTTACCCCTCGCTTGACAAGTTCATCAAAGTGCATACAACCAAGCAAGCTGCAAGGACTAATAGGCCACAACTGTGCAATAGGAACGTTAAATTCCATGGCAGCTTTAATAGTGAACGACGACATACAACCATCACTAACAATACAACTAACTGGCGGTGTAGGCTCATGATTGAGTTGAGAAAGTAGGCTACGAAATGGAGATAAGAAGTGGTTAGAAATGGCAATACAAATAGAGGCCAAGTCCTGTGCTGCCTCAATATCAGTATCCTCCGACATAATACCATCGGCAATGGTTTTGAACTGAAAGTTAAGAATGCC